GTCCAAAACATGTCTAACTGGCTGAGTCATCTTCTAGACTCAACAAGTTGCTAAGTAACAGAGAAGGTTGGGGGGAACCACGACCCAACTCCCCGAGTCCTAAGAACGACTCGTCGAGTCCCCCATGATCCAAATCTATACGGTCGATTTCATTCGAGCTTAATGCATCCAAAACATAGATCTGACCTCTTAGGGTCGATATAACACGTAAAGTTACAAACTTTACGTTAATGCATGGGCTATTTAGCTCAAAAAGCCCTAAAAAGTGGTTCATAGGATGCATGGGACTCCCATGGCCATAAAGTTGGCACCTTTATGCCATGGAGTCCCTCAAAGACTCTGGATCTGAAATCTAAACCCCAAAACATGCTTGCATCCATGAATGGTTCCAAAAATGGCTCCTTAAAGCCCTAAACTACATCAAGAAGAAATCTAGTAGATGAATGGTCAAGGTATGAGCTTTATACCTCAAATGAGTTTGAAATGGAACACAACCTCTGGATCTACTTGCTTTCTCTTGAACTCCCAAGCTTCCACTTCCTTCTCACACTTCAAAACCACCACAAACACACAACAATGGCTCAAGAACACTCGAAATGGGTTAGGGTTTCGAATTAGGGTTTTCTGGACTAAGGGAGGTGTAACATACACGTTTTGAAATCGTGTTATGTAATTTGAAAAGTTAATAATATTATGAAATATTATGTGAAATTGAGTGTTGGGTTCTAACAGATAGTTTTTACTAGAAATGAAGTAAAACTATGTTTAGAATCACTCATAAATTATTGGAAGTCTTATTAGATTCCATTTAAAAGCTAAATAGTGAAATTTAGCGAAAATATAAAACTTGAAATAAGTAAAATTTTATTATTGAAAGTTGTAGATAATCTCGTTAGAAACATGTAGGCGAAAACCTCGTCGAAATCCGAGTTATAACGAAGAAGTTATGACCAATCGAAGATCCGCGATAAAACCGGCACGGTGCCGAATGACGTAAAAAGTGCGTTTTTGATAAACTACTTTTTAGCCTTAGTGATCTAAATGAAAGTCGTAGTATTCGTTAAACCGAGAAGTTCGATAAAAAGAACGCCAAAATCTGACTTCGTATGAGGAAGTTATGATTTTTACAAGTTTCAGCTTAGCAGTAGACAGCTAAAAACTCGAATTTTAGATCGAGTGATTTTTAGCCGACACAACCTAAACGAGAATCGAAGGTCTCGTCATTAGTAGTACAACGGTAAAAAGTCTGACGAAAACGGACGTCAGATGAAGAAGTTATGAATTTTTAACGGATTTACCAGTCCCGGTCTGTTAAAAATAATAATATAAAAATAAAGTCAAAATTTTCCGACGAAGTCTAAACAAAAGTTGTAGAGCATAATTTTCTCTACGCGTGCATATAAAGAACGTCAAAAACAGAGCCCGTATGAGAAAGTTATGGATTTTACAAGATCGTGGCATGTCCGAGAAGCGACGCGTGTCGCATAGGTGTCCGAAGAAGCCACGTGATCTTGCATGTGTCCCACATGATCCGACCCGCGTGTTGGCTCCCGATTCGACCGAGGAAGAGGCCCAATCCGAAGCGCACATCTGTCCGAACCGAGCCTCGCCCTGCTGACAGCTGGTCTGAGCCTCGCATACGAGCCTCTCGCTTCCCAGCCTCAGATCCGAGCCTTCGGTCCTCCTCCCCTATAAATAGCAGCCATGCGAACCCTCCCGGGTATTTTTAGAATTTTGGCACTTTTTCACCCTTTTTCAATATTTTTACTATTTTGACATCCCCCGAAGCCCCGGGATTAATTCCAATGCCCGAAACACGCCCCGAGATTCCCGAGAAGCCCGAAAATTTTATCTTTTCGGTTTCGAAGCTCTACCTTCGCAGAGCCCGGTTTTCAAGAAAACTCCCGGTTTTCAACGAAGAAAGTCATATTTAGAGCCGAAGTGCTGCCCAAATTATTATTTTGACCCCCAGTTATTTCAAGGTGAGTTTAATATATAGGAACAATTGTATGTTGTGTGTTATATGTGCTATGTGCTTTTCGGTGTTATTATTCCGGGTTATTTTTCCGTGTTATTTTTATTTCTGCTATTTATGATAGCAAAGCTATACCTTTGACCATGTGATCAGTTTAAGAACTCAGATTCACGGTGGTACTGGTATGTAGCCTCTGGCCATGTAGAGCATGTCCCCCAGTAAGTGAATGACTCTATTCTATGGCATTGGCAGAAGGTTAGACAGGGCGTACGTAGCCTCTGGCCATGTAGAGCATGTCTCCGTAAGAGAATGACTTCTATTCTATGGCATTGGCAGAAGGTTAGACAGGGCGTGAAAACCTGAAATCTACCTTAATGTTAATCAGAAATTGTTTGTCTTCAGTGCCATTTGGGCCGAAGCGTTATTGATGTTTATCAAGTATGGAAATTGTTATATCTCATTGATTGTATATCTTTGAATCGAGTCATTGATTGATATGGAAAGCTTTTCGCATTATGCATTTGTTGTTCCTTGCTCCTATTTGCTTCTGCCATATTGGTATATATATGGCATAACGTTATATTGTATCTATTATTGAACTCACTAAGCGTTATCGCTTACCCCTCCCAATGTTTTAACCTAATGCAGGCAATAAGCACCCAGTATAGTTGGAAGACTTAGAATAGTTTGTAATAGTATTTTTGTACTTCAGTTTATGTTTGTATAAAATTACAATATTCTGGGTAGTTATGTAAAATCTTAAAACATAGTCGGTTTGTATCCAATCTTTTGTAATCACTTTATCAATGTAAAATATTAATTTTATAAATATGCATGTAGCATGTTTTGGAGTAACTATATTTTCAAGTATGAAAGTTTGGGTCTTTCAGAAATATGAAAGTCAAGAAAGTGGTTCTTTCAGGAGGCGATGAGGGAGGCCACAATGGGGGTTTTAAGGCCTTTAAATAGGGTGCAAACCCTGAAAATTCGGGTTTCACTCTGGCAGGCCTACTCGTCGAGTCAAGGTTCCTCGACTCGTCGAGTAGACTTCAAGTCCCGCGTCCACATATCCAATTCATACTCGACGATTTTGGGGCCTCCAACTCGTCGAGTCCCTTTGTAAAAATGCATAATTCTTATTTAAAATACGTACCAGGAACCGGGTGTTACAGTTTATGGGAGTTAAGGTTGCTTAAATAGAACTCAAACCCTCAATATTAGGGTTTGCATATCTGTCGAGTACACCTTGCGTACATATTGAGTACGCCATGCGTACTCTTAAACACCAACGTCCCTTTTAAAGGCTTACGCCCAACATACGCCCCAAGTATACAGGACGTAAGGACCATTTTTGCAATAATTGATACTTTGAGACAAGAAAGGAATTTACCTGATTGGTTGGGTGTTACATATCCACTAAAAGTCAACTACTATAAAGCCTCTAGAATGAATGATCAATAGTGTTCATGGTTTGAGAATAGTTCTCTTAAATGAAAATAAAGATCGTACCTTTGGTGAAGATCTTCTTGAGGTTCCTCCACATATTGTTCCTTTAGCTGTAAGAAAGAGCAAATATTAAATACACTTAGTACATCAATAACATTGATGCAACACGAAATTCCATAAAGATTAGGAGTTGACTATGGAAACATAACCGACTGGCTAACCTGTACATATAATAAGGTGATTCTGATTTGATATGAGCAACTTGGAAAGATTCATCTTAGCAAATGTTAAGTGTATAAATTGAAGCGATATGGAATTCCATCATGTTGGGAGCTGACTATGGTGACATAACCAACTAACCAACTAATGCATATTATCATGTACGACTGATTTGATATAAGCTATTTGGAAAGATCCATTGTGGAATTGTATTGCATGTTGGGCACCTTTGGAACTAACATGAAAAAGAAGAGAGATTCTAAGCTTCAACGAATTAAGTACATTGATAAGACTAAAGAGACGTGGAATTCCACCCGTTGGGAATTGGCTATAATCAGGTGATTATGACTTAGCATGAACAACTTGGAAAGATCCATTGTGGAGTTGCATATTATGTTGAGAACCTTTTTGTGACTAACATGGCTAAGTATAGAACTCAAAGCTTGAAATGCTCCTATGATTAACTATCATGAAAGAAGTGTCAAGAAGAAGAAAGTCAATTTTCAACAGACAAAAAGGGTGTTCTAAGTTGGTGTACCCAACCGCAATATCGAATGCGAGACAATAGACAAGCCTATTCTGAGACACATTCTGATAGGCTAATTGATTACTAAGACAAAGAAAACGACTAAGAAAAACACAAATGCCTAAAGTATTTGAAGTAGACTAAACCTAAAGAATAGTTGATTGATCATCGATAACGAGGCCCAACTGCTAATTTTAAAAATCAATAGTCAACTCGTTCTTCCAAGTGTTTAGCCTATTGATATGACCTTATTTAATTATATATTTTAGGTCATTAACTTAATATATTTGAGTAAACATGTTATATTTTAAGATATATGATACTTAATATGCATTGAAATGTTAAATTACAGTTAAAATCGAAGTTGAGATGCAAAAGGATGGGAAAGAAACCGAAAGAGACACAAAAATGATGTTATTGACATATTGACCTCTCTTTAGTGTTTTGGACTTATCTAATTATTGTCTGTAACTTGCTATAACCGGTTATATGTGAACATTTACATCAAGTTTGTTATCTAGATGTGTAAAAAAAATACCAAGATGTGAATAAAATAAAAAAAAAATAATTACCCTAATAAGTAAATTTTTCAATTTTATTTTTACAAGTTCAAGGATTTTTTCTTACTGAGTTTGATTTTAAGAAAACTTAAAAAACGATGAAAAAATGTACAAAAGATAAAATTATATGGTAAAACCAAACAAAAAAAAAGTAATAAATAAATCTGAAAGTTTTATATCTTCAGTTTTTTTATATCTTTTTATCGATATCGATGTAAAATAATTAATAATTTTGAAGCGACCTAATTGCAAAACAGAATCCCCCGTCCGGATTGTTGCATCAATATTTCTTTGAGAAAGAACGAAGTCACCACCTCTACACGCACAAATCAATGGAGGATGATGACGGAATTAGGGCTCATTTTCCCCTTTCTTTCGGCAAAAAATCCAAATCACAAACCCCAATCGAATCAATTCACAACGCCACACGCCGCCCCACCACCGGCATCGATGGCCCACAATCTTCTAGTTCTCTTCACACTAACAACAAGAACAAAGACACCCCTTTTCCTTCATTATCTTCATCCTCAAAGTCATGGTTAAATTCCCTCCAGAAAAAACCTAAACCCAGTACTGTATCTGATGATGATGTGGCAATTGGCCCGCCTCGACCTCCACCGTCTTATGATTCTGTTGATGGAGAAGATGACGCGATGATTGGGCCTCCTAGGCCGATGCCCGCTGAAGATGATGATGACGACGACGACGACGAGCCAATCATTGGCCCACCGCGGCCTCCGTTGGGTTCGGATAGCGAGGAGGACTTTTCCGATGGTGAGCAAGAAGTTCAGCACCGTATACCTCTCAGTAATGAGATTGTTCTGAAGGGTCACACCAAGGTATCGTTTCTGATTTTGGTTACTGCAATTTCATGTTTTCAGAATCTTGTTGCGGAATTGATTAAGTGGAAGTAGGCTATCAAAATACTGAAAACCCTCAGATATTCACTTTCAGAAAGCACAACCAAACACCCCATATCTAACATGACTCGACTGCTAATACATCTGTTCTTATGCTGTAGTATTTCTATGTTGATATTTGGTGTATGCAGGTTGTTTCTGCTCTTGCAATTGACCATTCTGGATCCAGAGTACTTTCGGGAAGCTATGACTACTCAATTCGTATGTACGATTTCCAAGGAATGAACGCCCGTTTGGAATCATTCCGACAGCTTGAACCTTCTGAAGGACACCAAGTCCGTAGCTTAAGCTGGAGTCCTAGTGCTGATCGATTCTTGTGTGTCACTGGATCTGCTCAAGCCAAGGTAGGTATATCTTAAACCCTAAACCCTAAAATATATTTTTCTAGGGTCTAGGATGGATTTCTTTTTCCTTTGTAATTATTTCCCTGATTTCCAATTCAAATTCCTTTTAGATATTTGATCGTGATGGATTGACACTGGGAGAGTTTGTGAAAGGTGATATGTATATTCGTGATCTAAAGAATACAAAAGGTCACATAACTGGATTGACATGTGGCGAATGGCATCCAAAGACGAAAGAGACCATTTTAACCTCATCAGAGGATGGTTCATTGCGTATATGGGATGTCAATGACTTCACATCCCAAAAACAGGTGCATCTTTCAACTTTCAATATTCATTATGCTTTCTTCAAACTTCAAATCACAAAACAAATTAAAATGTTTAGCTAACTGTGATATCATATGGTGAATAGGTCATAAAACCAAAACTTGTAAAACACGGAAGGGTTCCAGTCAACACTTGTGCGTGGGACCGTGAAGGGAAGTCCATCGCAGGCGGTATTGGTGATGGGTCTATACAGGTTCCAGTTTATATAAAATTTCATTTAAACAATAATATTATTATATTCATATATATTAAACAAGTTTATTGATATATTATATGATATAGATATGGGGTATCAAGCCTGGATGGGGAAGTCGACCCGACATTTATGTTCCCAATGCTCACTCGGATGAAATCACCGGTCTTAAATTTTCTAGTGATGGAAGGACTTTACTTTCAAGAAGTTTTGATTGTACATTAAAGGTATATATTTGTAATTATTATTATTTTTGAGTTTGGAGTTGCTGATGGTGATTTGGTTTGGTTGTTTGAGGTGTGGGATTTGAGGCAAATGAAAACGGTATTGAAGTCATTTGAGGATCTTCCGAATCATTATTCACAAACAAATGTCGCGTTTAGCCCCGATGAGCAGCTGCTGTTAACAGGTACATCTGTTGAAAGGGACAGCACAACTGGCGGGTTGTTATGTTTGTTTGATAGAGAGAAACTTGAACTCGTATCAAAAGTCGGCATATCACCAACATGTAGCGTCGTGCAGTGTGGTTGGCACCCAAAACTAAATCAGGTTTGTTTTCACTTCACATTAAAGAAACGGGCTTAGATTCTTGAAAATATTTTTGTAGTAAAATTTAGTGGTGTATGTTTTTGTAGATATTTGCAACTGCGGGTGATAAGCACCAAGGTGGGACCCACGTGTTATATGATCCTACACTGAGCACAAGAGGTGCTCTTGTGTGTGTTGCACGTGCTCCGAGGAGGAAGTCTGTTGATGATTTCCAGGCGGAGCCGGTGATTCACAACCCGCACGCGCTTCCGTTGTTTAGAGACCAGCCGAGCCGCAAACGTCAGCGCGAGAAAATGTTGAAAGACCCGCTCAAGTCTCATAAGCCCGAAGCTCCAATGAACGGGCCCGGTTTTGGTGGAAGGGTTGGTGTAACCAAGGGAAGCTTGTTGACACAGTACCTTCTCAAGGTAATCTAATCTACTCTTTTACACATTTTTTGCATTTCTCTAGTAGCAACATACTTACATTCTTTACTCATAAAAGTACGGTGTATTGGTATTTTGCAGCAAGGTGGGATGATTAAGGAAACATGGATGGATGAAGATCCACGAGAAGCTATCTTGAAGTATGCTGACGTGGCTAAAAAAGATCCAAAATTCATCGCTCCAGCTTATGCTGAGACCCAGCCCAATACCGTTTTTGCAGAGTCTGATTCCGAGGAAGAAGATAAGTAAAGATATTGAGTTTGGGTGTGATTGATAAGATTCATGCCTAGAAGATGAAGACCATGGTTTTCAAATGCTACTATTCCATGTCTTACTTTTCATGTTTATCATTCAATTGGAACAAATGGAAATTGCTGCAAACTTTTCTTAAATGTAGCTTAGGAACACCCAGGCCAGAATATGATTAGATTATAGATTACATGTACTTGAGTTATGTTATATGTAAACGGGCTTAATGAGGGTTTCAATGTTTGATCTAAGACTCTAATAGGAAAAGCATTGTATATGTATATGTTATTGGACATGAATGAATGTTTGTGTCGTGTCATGTCATGGATTGGATTGAAACCTGCCATTCTTATATTGGTTTTCTTTTTCTGTTAAAGGTATATTTTAGAAACCTGTTTTTGATCAACTCTTTAGTCTTTTTTTTTCTTCATAAACTGGTTGTTGCAAGGACCAGACCTTTTCGATTTATTTTTTATTTCACATTTTTGGTTCATGGTTTAGTTTTGAAGGGTTCTGTTTTATATTCTATTCTATTATTTGTTATTTTCTGGTTACCTATTTTGCTTGCTTGAAAGTTGAAACTTGGTCTTGGCGGAGGTTTTAAAATATGAATTTGCAAATAAGGAGGTTGGTTACCTTAGGCCTTTTTTTCCCCTTCTTAAGTTCAGAATAGATAAATGGTTCTTAATAGATAAATGGTTCTTAATAGATAAAGTATTACTGATGTTGATATCAGTGTTGCTGATATCAATAAATCATACTTAATGGATAAAGTGTTGCTCATATTGATACTTAATGAATAATGATATGTATACATGAAGTGTTGCTGATATTAATGTGTTTCTTTAACGGACTGAATTTGAACGAATGGCTATTTTATCATTTTATTTAGAATTGACAGATAACGAATGACTGCTTTGGTACAAGTTACAAATTAAAACTGTATCACATCAAGCCAAACAGATATGAATAGAGTTACAAATTAAAATTGTATCACATAAAGCCAAAATGAAAACAAAATCACTTAATAGTTTTGTTTTTTTGGTGTGGTTTTATATACCACGAATACATTTGTTATGGTTTACTTTTAAAAACTAGTCCTGGGGGGAAAACAAAATCCAAAATTGAGTGTCTACATGGTAAATAACATATAAGAAAAAACCTTTGTACGTTGTTTTTTTTGTAGATCAAAGAAAAATGAGTATATACATAAATCACCCAAAAAAAGATATACATACCATTCTTGAACACAAAGACCATCAAAATAATTATAATATGTGTGTTGCCAAATGCATGATGCTCTATTTTATTTTATTTTATTAACGCTTTTGTTAAATAACGTAAAACATTTTATAGCCTCTTAACTAGCAATAAATCACTACACACCAAGCAATCACCGGATATGAAAATTAGGTCGTCTCTAGAAGAAGATTAACAAAAAAAGAGTAGGAAGTACTGGATTGCAGAGGTAGCAGCAACATAAACGATTGGGAAAACGGTGTAAAAAGAAACAATTTAATTACAAAAGAATCATATATTATCAACTCTTATAATAACAATAAAAATTTTATGACAATATACACAAATTGTTTATAAAAGTAATAAAAAAAAGTATCGGGAAAAGTATGATGGGCTAACACTACCCAACCCAAGAATAGATATTTGAGAAACAGAGGATTGGAATGGAATGGAATGTCGGTTGGATTGGAATGGAATGGAATGTTAACCGACGTGTCTGGCTAATCGAATGTCTGATAGAACCGTGAACATTTGTGTATCTACAAATTCCTGCAAAATTAAAAGTATTGGATTATTTTCATATATATATATATATATATATATATATATATATACTAGTTGTGAGACCCGTATATTATACGGGTTGGATAAAACAAAAAAATTAAATATAAAGGTTTAAACAAAAATTTATTTAAATTTTAAATTTGAATTTAAAAGGAAACATATTAAATACTATATGATTTGTAATATTGTAATTTATTGGTTATTTTCAGTTAAGACAATTATTAATTGAGGTGTAAATATGATGTGTTAATTAAGAAAAAATAAAAAAATGAGAAAATGACAAATGAAAAAAACATTTATTCAAAAATACTAAAAGATTACAATAGTCCAAGTTAATGAGAGAATGACATGTGGCAAAATTATTTTCATTTATTAGGAAGGATATATATATATATATATATATATATATATATATATATATATATATATATATATATGGGGATAGGGAATATACATTACAGCCCCACCTAAGCTTAGGTACTAAACCTCTAAAATATGTCGTTTTAACATGCTAAATATACCCGGTTTGGTTTCACTTGGTAAATATATCATCCTCCATAACATTTCTTTCTTTCATTATCGTTTTACCATCTTTGTTTTCTTTCCTCAATTATCGTTTATTACTTCACCCAAGTGAACATTACTAAACCCTAAACCTAAACCATAAACCCTAAATCTAAATCCTAAACCCTAAACCCTAAACCCTAAATCTAAACCCTAAACCCTAAACCCTAAATCATATTGTGTCGATCTTGAATTTACATCTTGAATTATTAATCGTGAATCCATTAACCGTAATCTTTATATAGTAAAACAATGTATTTTCAAAAGGTTTAGTACCTAAGGTTAGGTGGGGCTGTAATGTATATTCTCTTTTCCATATATATATATATATATATATATATATATATATATATATATATATATATATATATATATGTGATGTGTATTGTATAAAACAATAACATTGAGAAATAGGTAGCCTTACCCTGACAAATCGTTGGTCCCTATAGGCGAAGGAATCAATATAGCTTTCCTTGATAAGTAGGTTAGCCTGCAACCAAATCATATAATAGGCCTGTCATCAACTAATTAACTGTAATAGATATAGATATAGTTATAATAACAAAATTAAGTGATCTTACCGGGTCGGTATCGCATTGTACATTAGGGACGATATGGGAGCTCAAGTTTGAGCATAGTGACTCCAAGTGCTGCCTCATAGCGGCTAAGAAATGTGTTGCCGCTTCAATCTGTGATTGGTCACAGTAAACCAACTTATTCTACTCTTCACAAAATAATACTACATACTTTTTTTGGATGCTAAGAAAATCACCTGCCATTTGTTGCTCTTGTAAACCGGATACTTTTTAGCAGCAGTTTTGTCACATGATAGTCTACCATGAAGTGGCGCTAGTCTGGTCATCAATTCTTTGTGCCTAGGAAGTGCTGGCAAGGACGACATTTCCACCTGTATAACTCCATCATCAATTAATTACATCACCAAAAAATTAAAATTAATTTTTTTTTTCTTTACTTAAAACTCTTATTATACCTACCTGATTTGTCTCCAAATCAACACGAACAAGGTTATTAGATGATTTCATCTTGTTATCACCTGGTTTATGCAGTATCCCCACCTGCACATGCAGCATCATCCACAAAATTTATAACCAACTAAATATCTCTTAAACCATTAGTATTTTAGAAACTTACAACAAAAGGAACAGGGGCATCAAGGAAATCAAACATCTTCCCTGGAAGAACCTGTAAACAAAGACAAAACTTTTAACTTTGAAACATACGAATGAGGGGGAATCATTGAATATGTATGACTCACAGGAAGGAAGAGGCTCTGCCATTCAAATGGAAGAATCATAGGAATAAGAGATAACACTGTGGCTGATAGGACACCCTACGAATGTATTTTACAGTTAACAATTATGAAGGTCAACCAATAGCAAAACATGACATGTCATAATCATATTTAAAACTAAAATGAATTTAGCAACTTCCAGTTTATTACCAGATTTGGGGATGTGATAATCACTTGTTTCTCCAACAGTACTGCTGAAAGCAAAATTAGAACCTGAAATCGGTTTTATTATCATACTCTCATTACATAACCATAATTTCCATACATAGTAACAGTTATTATAATAAGATGCTTATATAATAACTACAGTAAGCATGGATATCCAATGGAAGAAATAACAAGTTAAGAACCCAAAGTGCAAGAATAAGACTTACATTTTCAAGAGAAAGAGCTCTACAAAGTGTTATGGTTGTCCAGTTTGATAGTGACACGGCTTCCTCGATTGCAGCAAGCTTGAACTTGACCTAATAAAACATTACATGTTAGCAAGGGCATTTGCACAGACGAGGAATCTTAAGTGACTCGTGTTAGCGTCTTTTGCCAATGTACCTTATCGGGAATCTCTGACATATCGACAGTTTGATCTCCAAAAGCAAAAGCAGTTCTATAATATTCAATAGCCGGTAGATGCTCGAGTGGCCTGAAACATATTTTACCTCCATATGATGGAACTCTCAAAGCATGATAGTTGCAAACAGTCTGTAGCAAGTCATTTTTGTTTTCCTGTCATAAACAACAAAACAAGTTTAAGTTATATTTACTCCATAGAACTAACTTATAAGCAAACAAAATCAACACACCTTAGCCCATTCCATGATCGTTTTATTAGTCGCATCTCTATCACTACAAAAATGTACCCCGCCTTCATCCTCTGATAAGACGCCTTTCATCAAACTAAATTCCAAAAAACAAAACATATATATTACCCCAGAGTCAAATTCCACAAAAGTAGTAACAACTTTTTTTTTTTTTTTTACCTGAACAAGGGCCCAACGCTTCCATGTCGTTCAAGTGTCCGGTTCATGGGAATAACACACGCATCAACATCTGCCTTTCTGACACTATCATGATCACCATGCATTTTTCCTATACACTCCCATCGTTTTTCCATGGCATCATTATTGGAATCATCAACATAAGTCATCTCCTTTCTTGCAACACTAGGAGACCCGGTTTGAAACCATGAAGGCGAATTTAGCGTATCATCTATAATGCCTGTAGTTATAGCAGAAAGTGTTATGGTGGTGTCGACTGGTATTGCAGCATCCATCCATGAGCGATCAGGGGTTGGATCTTCTTCTTGACCAGTAGTTTCAGTTTCATCCTCTTGGTCTTCATTCGGTGGGGGTGCTGGAAGGGAACGATCAGGGCCCACTTCACTTACAAACTGTGTGATTCGATTTTGGCGCTCCTGTGCTACAATACTGCATCATAGTAAGTAGTTTCAGTTAATTATGGCGTGATCGAGTGGTGTTTTGATTGAAGCGAATGAAGGAGTGGTGATAGACTAGCCTGTTTAACATCTCGTAGTGGAGTTGAAAGAAGGGGACTCTTGTTAAGAGACAATAACAGCGAGGTGCTGTGACCAAAAAACGACTGCCTCTTCCGGATGTTTTTGAAAGGGGGGTTGCAGCGCCGAGCATTCCTGGTGGTCTCTGAACGAATTCTTGTGTGTGTAGGCACACACCGTACAGAGTTGCATTGTCTGCCACCTGTAAATTTACGAATCTTACCAGTGTTAACAATCAATAATAATGATGCAATTGGGAATCGTTTTAAGATATGACAAATTACATACAAAGGTAACCAATTTTGGTTTTAATTTCTCTTTCGTATGCAAGGGACATCCAAGAAAAAATTGGGTTTCTTAGATTTAAATTTGTAACTAGAGTAATTAGAAAAATACACAAAAACAAACTTACTGGTTGAATCAGTTAACAACTTAACAAATGATACCTAGTGAAGTGAAACATTTTGTATAAGTAAAATATTTAACAAGCATAGAAAACAATTTAGGATAACTGATAGAAAATTATTTAACACGTATGGAAATAGTAGGTGTAGGTTATCAAGAAAAAACTCAGACACAAGTAATTGAATAAAAGTAATATACAAATCAGATATCAGAATTAGATACAACTTGCCTTGAGTGAAAATATAAATGCAGAGTCATCTCTGGTCAAATGATCCTGTTCATGAAAAAACAATAAAGAAGTTAAATTTATTTTTTAGGACCTAAAGGCGAGCTAATGCATGTGGTCAATGCGAGTCAAATAAGACGATAGTAGAAAATAATTAAAAAAAAAAGAAAAAAAGATTTTCCATGCAATCATACCTGCCCGTAAAACGACTTGATTTAGCTCATTCAGTGATGGTGTCCTCTCCATCACACACGCCTATGAAGAAAGCACAAATTAAAAAACAAATAGCTATTTGCATGGTTCGGACTATAGATAAATGGTTCTTTCTTTGATTTTTTTTAGTATAGCATCCTACTTTCATCGCCTTCTATTACAACATTGTACTTTGAAAAACAAAAAAATCTACTCGATTATCGCATTGTAATGCATATTCAAACAAAAATTTGAATGCTATAATTGGGTAGATTTTGCAAAGTACAATGCCTTAAATAATAGCAAAAGAAACTGAAAGCACAATGTTGTAATAGAAAGAAATGAAAGTATGTTGATATTTCTTGCATTTAGCCCAAAATAAAACCATCATATCTACTAATGAGGCCAAAATAACTATAATATTTGGATGGAAGAATACATTGCTCCTATGAAATATAGCAAGGCAATACATCACCTTCACACCAGTAGGAAAGCAAAAGGATGCTAAATCTCCTAAGCGCATAGATAGCCTTTTCCCTGGAGGGTACTTGAAAAGTATCTGGAGGTAAAAATAAAAAATGAGTAGTAGTTATAGGCAAACTTACTTACAAATTACAATATGGCATTAAACATTTTTAGCTACAAAAAGATTAATTACCTGAGGTTCCATTGTGACACTTGGAGGTGATCGAAACTGCATAACTTTGAGATCCATTAGGTCTGTTTTGTCGGCTCTATCCTCCCATATCTTTCTATGAGCAAATGCATCCTCAACAGGCTCCAGATTTGCATTTGGATGGATACCCGCTATAAGAAAATGTTCAAAAAGCGAGGATGGATCTTGGTACTTTGTGGTGGCATCCTACATCATCATCATCATCATCATCATCTTCACATAAGTTGTTGTATGATATGCATGTATATATATATAATATAAATGAACCAATCAGAAGGAAAATATGTTAAAATGAATTAGGGGTTTACATATTACCGAGGATGTTGAGTGAAACTGGTTCCATTGGCGTTTCTGATTAGCTAAAATCTCTTGGTTGAAATCCTGGCCACCACCCCAGTTTAAAGCTTTTTGCATTTGATTCTTCAATCGTTGAAAGCCATTGCTTTGATTTTGAGTATTTAATGACGTCACTATTTCGCTTCTACAGCGTCTATGGTTGCCTACTGTCGTCATTCTTGGAATATTATGCTTCACGGATTACTCTATTTGGCATTTGTTACCTCACAAACATTATATTATTTGTTGATGTTGGAAACACTTTTGCAGATTACCATCTCCTTTCCTTCCCTTCCATCTCACTAGCCTAGAAACATCTACCACGCTAATAATATACTTAATCCTTGGAACAGATTCCAATCTTTCAACAATAAATTAAGACTATTTCTATTATATCAATCATTAATGACATACACTTTCCATATCCATGGAGATGTTGTATATCAATCACCAAATTCAACCAACTTAATGAAAAACTCTCTAACGATAATTCACATATAAATCAGGATGTTGATGTATAATCCTCTTTTGATCCTTGATTTATGCAAATACCACGACCTTAAACCCATCCAATAACGTGAATCATTAGAGACGTATTATCTCGTGTTGGGAGAGGTTTCTTCCACAAATCACAATCCTGAATATGCATTCAAATAAAAGAGTCAAAAACAATATATGCAATATACATTTAAAGCAAATCAATATCTCGATTCGCCTAAAACTAAAAGATATAGGGAAAAGGTGGAAAAGAAACTATAAGGTATGAAAACGCAATGAATTCATATGAAGCGACAACTTTTTATGAGAAAGGAAATGTAAAATCAAATGGATTAATCTTATGTACCTGTATAGACATGAACATGAACTGTGTTTGTGGAACTTCTTATTTGAAATTACTAGGGTTTTTTCGTTACGTTGAGAAATTTGGATTGATTAACATGCAAATGGATTGACGATGAACAAGAAATGCGCTTGATAAAATTGGATGGTTGCGACAAAAATTGAACAAGGAATGTGTGAAGAACAAAATAGATCAAATTCTATATATGTACACACACGTACATATATATACACATATAAATATATTTATATAAATATAAATATATGTAACGATTTTCTTTTTAGAAATGCTTTTATTTGTAACAAAACTAGGTTTTAGTGTACTACACGCCACAAGTTCAGTTTTTTTTGGTAAAAATAGGCTTGTTTGTTTTGAAAAGTATTTGTAGAAGTTGGTTGGTTTAAAAAAAAGTTGTATAAATAGATTGATTTTGAGAGATGACCTTTTTTTTGTTTTTTTTTTTTAAATCTTTTTACCTCTGATTTTTCTATCTAAATGTTACACATTCGGCCCCTAGATATTATAGAATTAGCCCTTCAACTTTTATATTTATTTTTACTTAAATCTTTTACTATTAGACTATTTAACTTTTACCCTTGTCATATATTATACATAAGTTAATTTAGTCCAAAATATATGATTATAGCTTATGTGTTATTTTTAACAACTTACACTATTTATTAAATAGATCTTACAAATATTTTCAAATAAATATCAATATTGAATATATTACAACGTTACGAAATTACAAGACCAATTAAAAACGATATTACAATACAACTTAAATATATTAGAATGTATTTGTAAGGGATATTTTTGTTGATATAATATTATAAGCGTAGTTATGTCACTTTCAGGATTCCACTGCAAAGGCTGTCACTATTTATGAAAACTCAATAAAATGTAAGTGAGTGAATTGTCAAATCAATTCACTTTTTGTTATTATAAATTTCAACTCTTATACTCGCTTTTATTCACCTCATTCCATCCTGAAGAAATTATCTCACAAATTCAAACTTATGTTCTTTCCTTCTTAATTCTGCTTATCATTCAATCATCTATAAGCATGTACGTATTATTTAGCATTATGAATCTAGATCATCCATTTATGATTGTTTTATATTGGGGTGGTAATATTGAATGTGAGAATGGTATCGTAAATGGTGATCATTCAACTTTTAGTTATTCAAATATCATTAGGCGTAAAATGGGGTATGAAGAATTTAAAGATCTATGTTATGTTTATGTTTGAGTTGAAAAAATGGCATATAAGTTGATGTCACAAAAGATGCTAACAAGAGTATATTACCTTTTTCATATGTTATCTTTGATGAAGAGACTTCACATAGTTGGGGTTGGTTCTTTTACCAACTCAGACATTTTGTTGTCCAAGACAGACAATTATGTGTTATTTCAGATAGACACAAATGAATAATTAATGCAATGGAAAATATATAGGATTAGAAAGAGCCATTTGCATACCATCGGTTCTGTCTTCGACACATTAGACGTAATTTCATGCAAAAATACAAGAATGTGAGTCTTAAAAAACTTTGTTGGTCTATTGACAGCACCACACAAGAAAGAAAGTATGTTACATATATGAAAGAAATAAAAATAAATCGATCTTAAAGCTTGGAACTTTTTAAAGGAAATTAGAAGACGTCAATGGTGTTTTTTATTTGATGAAAATCGTCGATGGGGTATGTTGACAACAAATATCTCTAAGTGTATGAACAATGCACTTCGAGGAACAAGACAGTTACCAATTAGGGCATGTATTGACCTTACTTTCAATATAACTGTACATCTTTTTAGAAAGTACAGTGATGTTGCAATGAATTGTAATACACCTCTGCCATCATGTATGTGGCGTCTATTTCAAAAACAAGAAACTCATGCACAAAGCCATATATTAACCAAGTTTGACTACAATGAATGTGTCTACAAAATTTTCACAAAGTTACAAATAAATGGAAAAGGTAGAATTGCTCAGGGTGTCCATTATTATCAACAAACATGTATATGTGGTAAGTGGCAAATGGAAAGATTTCCTTGTTCGCATACTATTGCAGTTTGCAGTTATAGATGGGATAACCATCTTTGTATTGTAAATATTGTGTACACTACTGTGACGTATAGACAACAATATATGTCTTCTTTTATCCCACTTCCTCATGTTGATTATTGGTCTGAATCAGATTGGAAGATTAAAGCAAATGATTTAAAGCTTTTTTTCATTGAGGCCGGAAGCGTTCAAATTAATTTCATAATGAGATGGACATTCATCATCTTGGCGAACCTCGAAAATGTAGATTGTGCCACCAACCTGGTCATAATAGAAAAAGTTGTCCAAATTCTCAACCAAGATTCATTGTGATGTAAACTTTGTAACATTTTTAATTAGTCTTGTGATGGGTTTTGAGCATTACAACAATCCTATGGTGCACATGCAACCATAAAGCTTTGGATCTAGGTTTTTCTCTAATTATACATGCAATAATAATCATCCAAAGTTATAACCCTAATATAGCATGCCAAATTCGAAATTTATATCTAATACAAAGTTAGAATATTACCTTTCAATTGTAGCTTGCTTGATCTTCAACCTTTGAGAACTTAGCACCTCAAATGTGATGCATCTAATAGATCACAAACACCACAAGCAATGGAGG